TGTTGCTAGCTTAAAAACGGCAGCGATTCACTTAAGAACTGCGGCGAGAATGGTTGTAAAACGGGGCAAAACTCACTGAAATGTTTTTGCTTAGCAACAAATTTTGCACTCAATTGTCAGCGTAAGTCGAAGACTATTAATAAATAGCAACCAAATTTCTGCTGTTTTTGTGGTGCTCCTTAATGAACGACTGTGGAGGAGGAGGAGAAGGTGGACACGATTTAATCAATGCTGATTAATCCGATCGCTTTTCAACTGACAGTCTCTGGGTTTGACACTTGCAGCAGGGACCGGAATAATCCCATTGGCCCTGAATAAATAAAGAACAGGCATCTGGGAGAGGAATCTGCAAGGGCTCAGAAGCCCTCTGTCGATTGTCAGAATTTCCATTCGCTGCCTCTGCGGCACCCTTTGAATACCGGGGAGGGAGGCAGAATGGAAAATACGCTTGTTTTTTTCAATGGGCGAAAATAGAAGATGCAGCGGTCCCAAAGGAAAGTCGTGGAACAGATTCAGCAAAACACACACGTTGCTGAAAGGGAAATTCCGTGCTTAGAATAGCTCCTACGGCAGCCTTCCCCATCAACCTTGGCTGCCTGAAGGTGTGTGGACTTTTCAACTCCCAGAATTCCCCAGCCAGCATTCTGCGAGTTGGAAGTCCACACATCTTAAAAAGTTGCCAAGGCTGGGAAACCTTGCCTCTAGCTAGGAAAAGAAAATGAGCTTACTTAAGACTTCCTAAATGCAGGGAGGAAGGCACCAGAGCTGGGAGACAAAGAGGTGTGAATGCCAACAACCAGGAGTTCAGCTCTGATTGCTGTTTAAATCTCTCTCTTGAAAATGGTGGCTACGGTTTTAGGCCATGTTGCCGCCTTAACAAAAAGCTGGAAAACAATCTGCTGAAGCTGAACCTGGCCAGCTGCAAACAGTAAAGCCTCTGCCAGTGAGGCACAAGCCACTCCTCCGTTTCGCCTGGTGCGGGAATAATTTCCAGCTCATCTCTCGCACTCAGCACAAAGGGGTGAATTAGTCTCTCATTAATTCGGATTCTCTTAAGCAAGGCTTTTCAAGCAGTGATATGGGTACCACCTGTGGTACATTGGCACCTGGCAGGTGGTACACAACCATCCTAGAAAAGTGGTAGCGGGGGAGGGGAATGAGCTGAACCGGTGGCAGCACCGCACAAGCCTGAGCGAGAGATGGCTGGAGCTGCAGGGCTGTCAGGGCTCAGTGGAAGTGCCAGGATCAGTGCCAGGCTCCAGCTGGAGCTCGGCGCTGATCCTGGCGCTTCTGCTGAGCCCAGAAGAAGCGCCGATCAGCTGGAATGTTGCAGCCTCTCCAGGGTCTTGTGATTTACATTCAGATGCTTGGCAACTGATTCATATTTATGACGGTCACAGTGTCCCAGGGTCATGTGAAGTGACCAAAACCTGCTGTAACCACCCAGCAGATGGGGGGAATAAAAACCAAACACCCCCCCACCCCACCCCTGCTGCCAATCCTCAACAGAAATGCTCACAATGAAAACCTCGGACAGGAGGAAGAACGCCGCTGGGTGGGCAAGCAGGTGTCTTGCTCAGCACTTTTTTCAGTGCCATTGTAACTTCGAAAAGTCACTAAGCGAACTGTTGTAAGTCAAGGACTTATTTCATTACTTTTTTCCTTTTTGGGGTCATCAAGTTTTTGATACCTTATTAGGCGACTGGTGGTACTCGGATATTGCCATATCCTAAAAGGGGTACAATGGGTGAAAAGCCCTGCTCTTAAGCATCTGGTCTTTCTGAACAGAAATGGAGAGGGTATCTCTTGCTAGACAGCGCCCTCTGCTGGGTACAAGTATCTACTTTAATCGGTGTTTTGTACTCTTTTAAGGCAGGAAGACACTGGGTAGTCCTCGACTTAACCACAGCTGAGCTCAACATTTCTCTTGCAGATGGAGTTTTGCCCCATTTAATGACCTTCCTTGCTACAGTTGTTAAGGGAATGGCTGCAGTTGTTTAGTTAGGAACATGGCTGTTAAGTGAATACACTTTTGTCATTGACTTTTGCTTGTCAGATCGCAAAAGGGATCGTTACACGGGATGCTGCAACGGTCATAAAGATGTGTCAGTTGCCAAGTGTTTGAATTTTGATCACGTGGCCGTGGGGATGCTGCAAACATCGTGTGAGAAATGGTCATATAAGTCCCTTTTTTCAGTGCCGCCGTAACTTCGAATGGTCACTTATACTACTGGAAGTCGAGGACTAGCTGTATTCTGACTACAATTATTCCTTGGTTTACAACTAGCCACTTAGCAACTATTTAAAGTGGCAACACACCATCACAAGACTTGACCCAGAATTGAAAGTTTGACAGCGGCCCCCTCCCATGGTCACACAAGACTGCTCAGCAACTTGGACCCATTTACGGCTGTTTGTAGCATCCTGTATTTTATGACTAGTTTTTGCCAAAAATACCCAGTGAAATCATCGCTTTGCTTAACCACCAGTGATTTGCTTAACAACTGCTGCAAAAAATATTTAGAAAATTGGGTCAATCACATGGATCGCCCAATTTATTACGATGGACAGACTCCATTACAGTCATAACTCGAGGATTATCTGCATCTAGCCTTTGGTCTAAGAAAAAAGGGAGAACATGAGTTTACATGTAAATCTGGTGAAGAGTGAATTCTTTCTTAGATGTTCCTGCAGGACAGAGGTGGAGATCCAGTGGAGTAATCCACTTCTGCTACTCACATGCAGTTATGTACAAACTGGGTGTCTTAACTCAGTTTGGAAAACTGGATTTTGCCCAATAAAGTCACCATGGATTGCAAAAAGTCCTTGGACCACCCCCCCTTCTGCTCCATGTTTGATTCCTTCAGCTTAAAAGCAATAACATTAATCCACAGCAGTGAATCTCAAAACTCGGCAACTTTTAAGAGGCATGGACTTCAATTCCCAGAATTCTCCAATCTGCCATGGGAGTTGAAGGCTTAAAGATCTGGGCTCCAAAGCACTAGTGGAAAATTAGAATTGGTACAATAGGATGAATTTGGACACAGGTCCAGCCCACCTATCTGGAAAAAGGGAGAAAAACCAAAGTGGTAGAGAACAAACTCATTGGTCTCCTCGTAAATGTGTTTTTGTGACCATGTACACACCTGCAGTTATTTAGTGAAAATGTGTTCACATACTCAAATGTGCCTCTTGACTGAAATACTCAGGGGCACTACGATCTGTTGGAGGAACCCACATCCTTGACTGCAGGAATCATACAGATCAGCATCCAAGAACCACGTTGGAATGGGAGAAGCTACTAAACCCAATTTAAGGGCTTCATCCTCTTGGATCCCCTTGTCATCTCTGGAAACATGTACTAAATGGGAAAACCTTCCATGGATGAACTGTGAACAAAAAAAAGCTTCTTTTTCAAGGAATTAAGAAACTTGCAGAAAAAAAAATAGCAAATGTTTTTTGTAGGACTTAGGTGGGCTAAACAATCGGCAGCCTAAAAATATAGGGCAATGCACGTTTACAGTAGATTTGGCTTTAAGCCCCAAATCCCTTCTAGGTATTTTAACACCAGCCCCAGTAATCCTCCCAACATCTGTCCTACAGGAAATCTGATGGTTTATTAAAAAAAAAAGAATTCTGCAGAATTGAGAATGGGGAGATTTTTCAACTAACATGCAGGGAATTTCATTATTTAGAAGAAAATAAAAGGACCATCCAGGGATTGACTTTCTGCAACTACTAAGGTACCAGCAATTTTTCAGGTTGTTATTGAATCTTAACATTGGGAAACTGCACATCTAAGTCAACCTTCAAGGGTGCTTAAATCTTGGCTTGAGAACTGCTTAACTTCAAGACCAAGTAGGAGTGGATAAAGCATCCCATTACACACAAGGTTGAAGGCCTCTGAACACCTTGCTCTCTTATCAGTTAAATTTACACGATTGACCTGCAATTCCAAACCTAGTTATAGAATTCTTGACACCAATGAGACCAACAGCCTCATGGAAATACTTAAAACACTATGCAAGCTACAGCATCACAAAGCCTGACCCCATGAAAGGCAGTTTACCCTTTGATTTGCTGACAAATGGCTTTTTCCCCTCTCCAACTAGCTTGTCTATTTCCCATAACCTTTAATCAGAAGCTGCAGAAATAGCACCCATCTGTTGGGCACTTAACTCACAGGGACAAACTATCATTGTGCAACTCCATTTAGGTTGAGCAAGCTTTGCTTAAAAGGAGCAGATAGCTGATTTCACATGCTGCCATGTGGTTAAACCTGTATGGGGGGGGCAGTGGTAATCTTCTACACTCTTTCAAAGCCCACGCCCCAAAGCCTTTGCTGAGCAGTAGTCTTATTGTGGGTTCCCACAAACAGGAGGGATAGCTTTCTGCAATTTTAAAATGTGGGGAGGAGTGACTTGGACATGGATTTTTTAAAAAAGCTAAAGCTCTGTAAATTGGAGAATGCTTAACTCTTCTGCAGAAATAAGCAATGAGAAGTAACTTCAATTTAATGTACTAGATAGGTTATAAACTAAACCAAGAACACTTTGACTTAATTCTGTATTAATAGGAGTAGCTTTCAATTAACATTAGCTTATGTTAAACTGTAGGGGGAAAAAGTTATTTATTACTGGTAAAATGGGCTACTAACTGCATTGTGCCAAGTCTCGCTTGGGAGAGATTGTCAACTCTAAGGAAAGGGCACTTGTGGGACTGGTTTGCTCTCCCCAATCAACGAATGGATAGGAAAGATACGTTCAAATTTCTATTCAGTACCAAATATTTGATTTTAAAAAACCCACCTTTATAAATAATTCAAAGTGACAAACATGTTCCTATTTCTCCCACAACCACCCTAGGTGGCGAGGTGGGTTGGACTGAAGAAATGAGTTACCCATCTGGCTTTCACGCAAAAGGGCGGTAGAGAATTGCATTTCCTCAGGTGTTATCCTCACAATTACTACTTTTTAAGGTATACACATTCACACTACCCGTGTTTTTAGCCCTATTGTTTTATTAAGTTTTGTACATGTCCTCGGGTCACTCAGAGCATTCTAATTCACAATCCTGTTTTCCTTCAGAATTGCCATGATCCTGGTCGATCCTCTTCCAAGAAACATGCAGCTGAAAGATTGAACAAAAAGGTATTAAAATCCCATTCTGACGTTATTGTTCAAAATTCAATGAATTTTGCTTTGGAATTGAAATTTTTAAAGAGGCCTTTTCCTTTAAAGGTAAGCCAAGTCAGGTAGCTATAAAAGCAGCCACTTCCGTTAAGATTTCTGCCATAGCAACCGAGGCGGCACAGAAACCACCTCGCAGAGGACAAAATACCTGTTGTGTGCAAAGCTGATGGTTTCAGTTAAGACTTTGGTCCTCAGCGTTGAAACATCCATTTCCGGCTCAAGTGTCCATCTCTTCCATCAACCTGTCAAGACAAACTTGTGTTACAAAATATTGTTATCCAGAGCAAATGCTACAAAATTTCTACCCTGCCCACCCTTTTCAACAAGACAAGCAGCGTTTCCTATAAAGGGTTTCCACAAAGGTAACGCAAGAGCCCAGCTTGGGCCAACTGTTCCAAGACGCTTCCCTCGGACCGGCCAATGGCACCTGATCCCTCAAAAAGCAGTTAGTCACGGTTGATAATGGCTGCTTAGGAACAGTGTGGGCTATGGGGAAAAAGTTAAAATGCAAACAGGATGGCAAAACATCATTACGGTTACGTGACTTAAAAGTCTTAAAAGGTATCTCCAAGAGATGAGCAGAAATCAGCTCCCCATCTTTCATCTAATCCTACTGGCAAAAGAAGATGGCTGCACTTCTGCCCACACAGCAAAGTTATGCCATAAAAGCCAAAGACTCATCGGTAAGGAAGAATTTTTTAAAAATTTACAAAAAATGCTTTAGCCTGAACAAGGTTGGCAGAAAAAAAATTCAATTCACATAGGTTAAGACTTTCCAAAAAAATAAATTATCTATATATATATATGAGCTCTCAACAGGAGGAAGGATGCGGACATGAGGAAAAGAGTTACCTCGAATTACAGGACTATCCCCACATATGAACTAGCCAAGAGAGCAGCTTTCGTCTCAGAGGTTCTCTCTGTTGGAGGCACAACACTTCTTTTTCGCCAAGGCACTGCAGTTTTCCATATGCTAGCAGAAAATTCTTAGAACTTAAAAGGCAACGACAAAGCTAGCTAAATTAGGTCACAATTATTGGCCTTGGAACACTGTTGGGACTAGTGGCAGCTGACCCAGTTAACAAAGAGACTCCATTATGGGCTAGCTAGATGTTTGGCTGGTTCTCAATTAATAAGCTAGTTTGCTTTAGTTAGTATGGAGCTATCGGTCTTATTTAACCTAACACTTTGCTAACAGCATATTAAATAGCAATGAGTGAAATTAATTTCTTCTTTCAAAGTTTGGAGCAATTTCCAGCCAAAGCTAAGTGACTGCTTTAAGAGCAAAATTATTTGTGATGTCCTTCCAGTACACCTTTGTTTTCAATCATTCTCAAACTGCTTTGATTGATGTCATGAGGCCTGATAAATTACAGCATTCTTTACATTTTTGTTTCTAAGAAATCTGGGGCCTGGTTCTCTCCCCTCAGTTATAGCCTTCCACTTACTACTTTCGTTCCTAACTAACTGTACAGTTTCACGTTCATCCAGACTTGTGTTGTGCAGCAAGATGTAAGATTTCAAGCAATTTTTTTTTCAGATGGACTTTTAATAGGCTTCGTGAAGCCAAAGTAAACTGTACAAGAAATCCTTTTTCACCACTTCAAAGTTACAACAATTGAATTAGGCATACTTTCTTTCAGTAAAAAAAGGACAATAGAAACAAACATTTTTTTTCCATGAACCCTTTGGGTGGTAAAATCTGCAGTCTCTCTCTGGGTTAAATTTTATGGCATACAAGTTAAAGTCTCTTAATGCAGGCTGAACATACAAGCAAAAGTATTTCTTTAGATATATCAAGGTAGGTTGCCTTTTAAAATTCATACCCAGGCTACAGTACCTTGATACACTAAAGGTTGATTAAATTTTTAACAAAACGATGCACTTAACAAAAAAAAGTTCACAGCTTGCTCAGCTTCTACTGAACAATTAAGGTCCTTTCTTGCTCAAAAGAAAAACAGATACGGGGCCCCAAACCTTCCGGTCTTTTTTTTTAAAAAAAAACAAAAAACACAAAAAAACTAAAACACATATACACGCCTTTGCTCACAAATGAACTAAAATCTTAAGTGTTTTAAAAAAAATTTAAAACACTCGAGAAAAACCCAGCGCTTTCTTTGAGTCTGAACAGACCACATTACATATTAGAAGCTGTCAAGGCTGTGTTATTGACAAGATCAGAATTGCGAGTTTACTACAAAAGTGAGAATACAAAGGAGATGACTACACAAGAACGATTTCAGCGAAGCTCCAAAAATCTTTATAAATACAGCCAATGGAAGGACGATCTTGAGCCAGGAAGGTTTTTTATTCGTTGTGTGTAGCTGAGGACAAGAAGCAGGCAGAGTTGTAAAGGCACTGAAGCACAGACAAGTTCCAGCAATTTTTCCTCCCCTACTTGTTTGCCAAGCACTTCAAACACTAGCTTGCTATCTCTTGTCCCACCCATTTTGTATTCTTTTTCCTTCTGGCCTTGAGGACCTCTGGGTGTTCTTTTCAGCTTCAGAAAACTAGTTATGGATGCTTTGCCTTTGGATCCAACTAGAGCTACACATGCATTAATGAAGTTTTTTTTGCTTTTCCGTGGCACAAGTGCTTAGGGCCTGCCAAAGGAGTGGTGCCTCTCACAGGCAGAGATAGGCTGCCAGCAAAAGCTCCAAGCAAACCTTAAAGTATTTCCAAGGTGGTCACTGCAAGATCAAGAGTGGCTCCATACATTCCCATGTCAGCACATCCGCCTTCCCTCACGATTTCAGACTTACCGTAACTGTCATAACTGTCTCTATAGGATCCTCCTGAAGGCCTGTCTCCATAACTTCCTTGACTTCTGCTAAAGACGACAGAAAACAAGGCAACAGGTTCAACTAAGCATATCAGTAACTACAAAGCACACAGGATTCCACATTACATTGCATCTCACTTGTCAGGTGTCTTGCTTGCACATACCTGCTTCCATAATAGTCTCTGGATCCACTGTATCCCCCACTTCTAGATTCAAATCTGCTGCCCCCATAACCTCTGTCTCCAGTACCTGGAAGAGAGAACAATGCAAATGTTGAAATAAATTCAACCACCTCTAAACAGATGCTACAAATTACTGGAAAAGAGAACCTCACCTCTGGAGAATCCACGACCTCTACCTCGGCCTCCACGGAAAAAGCCTCTGCCTCCAGCTGATCCCCCTCTATATCCACGAGACCGGTTATCAGAGGACTTGCCTGCTTGATCAACTCTGATCTGGCGGCCATCAACAGACTAAAAAAAAATTAAACTTCAGATTAACAGAGTGCTTCATAAGTCCTTTATGCAGAAGGTTTAATAATGATCTTTTACTAATATTAGTTTTGATATCAAATGGCAATGATTATAAATCAGTCCTGTGTTTACAAAAATTACCTATGTGGTAAAGTTTTATCACTATTAAATATGAAACATTAATCACAAAGTCTATGGATCTATTCATCAAACAACATGTTATATCCCTTGTTTGCTAAAAGTGAGAGTAAGAATTCCTCACCTTCCCATTCATGGCCATCATCGCATCTTTTGCATCATCAATGTTCTCAAAAGTTACAAAGCCAAACCCTCTGGATCTCTGGGTTTCTCTGTCTTTTACAACAACAACTATAGGGAAGAGAAGATGGTGTAATTAAAGTGTTTAATTTTATTTTCATAAAAAATCCATGTGGCAAATACCACCATAGAAACAATTTCTGCAGGGACTCCTGTATTCTCAAAAGAGAAACCATCTGCTATAAACTTCCAGTAGTATAAATAAGAAGAGATTGGGGCTTTTTTTTTTTACCTTCAGATATCTGTCCGTATTTAGAAAAAACTTGCTCGAGTGATTGTTCATTGGTGTCAAAACTGAGTCCACCAACAAATAATTTCCCCTCATCGGATGCCATTTCTTTTCTGTAAAAGAAATCAAAGTCAATTTTAGTATTCACCAAGGGACAGACATACCAAAAGCATATTGCTTTGAAATCAAAGCCCAGTAAACACTGTTCCATTTTCGGTTAAATCAAAGATTCAAGTTCAATTTTGCTCAGATTCATACAAAAATAACAATTCCTATTATCTTCAGCAACTGAATGATTTATATTTAAATCGTGGATAAGCAAATACTAAAAATATAAATGTTCTGTGAAAAATGAGAGGTAAGCTACACCATGTATTTTTTTTATTTGTTTTCCTTGTTTTGGCACTTTTTAAAAAACAAGCAAACACGTAGTTCTGTACCTATGAGCACATTTTAAGTTTGCTTGAGGTACTCGGATGATCGATTTATTAAGCGTTGCAATGCACTAACGTGTCAAAAAGAACATTAAAACTTGGGGAAATGAAGCTATTTGTCTATAAATAAAATTGGCGATCTATACAGGATACACATACAAATGTTAATATATTGAAATATTCCACGTGAAAGCTACAATAACGGATAGCATTTAGTCATGAGTCATACAATCCGGTTTCGTATTTCACTTTTGTGTGTGTGTGTGTGTGTGTGTGTATATACATACACAAAATAAAAAGGTATCCTACAAAGGTATCATTTCCGCGCATGCGCGCCGGGAACGTTACTCCAGAAGAGGGCGCACGGTAACTGAAGCGCATGCGCAGACAAAACAGATCGTTTCCCCCAGGCCGCTATTCCGCGCATGCGCTTTCGTTATCCATCGTCTTCCTTTCAGGCGCCATTTTGAGGTTTGTCCGAAAAGCCGGTTGGAAACCATTTTGTCTTTTCCGCAGTTCACATCTAACTCGCTACCAGCTAAAAAAAAAATCTCGCACTTAAATAACCTTACCTATATTTTACATTTATGTTGACCACCTGCCCCCACTTATATTAACATTTGTTTTCCAACTTCCTTCATTTCGCGCCTATTTTCTCGTACACTTTTCCTTTACGACCACCACGCGCGACCCCCCTTACCGGTGTAGTTTAGCGGCGGCACAGTTCAAAGTACAGCCCTCGAAGTCCCAACGCGAACTACGGGGCGGTTTGCGCGCGCTTCCGCTTATATACCTCCTATGAGGACCGCCTACTTCATGAATATGCAGATCAACTCGCTTTGTAAAATGGCCTCAACTCTTCGCTCCGCAGACATGAGGTAATCAGAATCAAAGCTTCCCATTGGTTAGCTTCTGATTAAATATTCATAACGAAAAAAAGAGGTGGAGTAGTGAAAGTCACTGCAAGAAAAAAAGCCCCCACGTCTGTTCGCTGTCACGTGAATCCATGAGTCACAAAAAGAAAGACGTGATTGGGTGAACGGAGACTAACGCGTTGGGTTGGTAAGGGCAACAAGCCGCCCCTATTCGCCTCTCGCAAGCTGATTAGTTAACATCTTCTTTCCCAACAGCCGCAGTAGATGGTCCTGGTCGCCGGGAGAAAAGTGGGCGTGGCACCAACGACCTACTTTCCCGCCCTTGTCAGCAATGCGGCGCCGCTTTGCCGCAGCAGACAAAGAGAACTGCTTCGACTGGGGTGGGGGAGGGGAAAGGCGGGAGTCGAGCGCCATCTTGGAGGAGGTTCGCGGCCCTCAATACCGCAATCCATAGTGTGAAGACACCTCACCAACCTACACGAAACAATAAAAAGCCGTTATAAACTGTTAAAGCGCCACTAAAGCATTTTATGGTGGGGGAGGGAGGACAATCCCTTCAGTCATGCGTTGAAAGCGATTTATAGCCGTCGTGGTGACAGGCCAGATTTGCAAACCAAAACCAGTAGTGGGATTCAAATACGTGAACAACCGGTTCTCGGTGTGGATGCCGCTTCCGGAATGGTTCTCAGTGTGGATGCCGCTTCTGGGCCTGGGCAACAAAAAATTAGCTACCACTTCTTGAACTGATGCGAACTGGCTGAATCCCACCATTCAAGGCACTCCGGTGAAACTCACATGGCTCGTTTTGGCTTAATGTGCCACCTGTGAGCCCATCCCAGCTGGCCACTAATCTTGTAGCTGTGTGAACTGGCTTGCTAGCTGTTGCAGTTGCTAAAACAGCCGATGCAAACCTAGACTGCGTTAACAGAATTAATATCAAGTTCTTTTGAAGTATTAGTACCGCTATATACTGCTTTAATAAGACCACACTTGGAATACTGTGTCCAGTTCTGGTCACCACAATATAAAAAAAGATGTTGAGATTCGAGTGCTGGGAAAAGCAACAAAGATGATTAGGGGTCTGGAAGCTAAATGTTATGATGAATGGCTGAGAGAAGTAGGTATGTCTGACAAAGAGAAGGACTAGGGTTGACATTATAACAGTCTTCCAATATTGGGGGGGGGGGGGCTGCCACAAAGAATAAGAGGACAACCCATTCTCCAAAGCACCTGAAGACAGAAATAGCAGGTCATTAATAGAAGATCATTAAAGAGAGATCTGATCTAGAATCCCAAAAGTGCTTTTTCACAAGGCAACTGGACTTTCTTGTTTTTCTTTGAAGACGTTTCGCTTCTCATCTAAGAAGCTTCTTCAGCTCTGAAGAGAGTCCAGTTGCCTTGTGAAAAAGCACCTTTGGGAATAACTGACCTGGATGACTGAGAATCTCCATAGACATCCAATCTGGAACTAAGGAAAAAGTTCTTGACAGTGAGAACAATTGGTGGAATGGCTTGCCGCCAATGGTTGTGGGTACTCCAACACTGGAGGTTTTCCAGAAGAGATTGGACGACCGTTTGTCTGAAATGGTATAGGGTTTCCTGCCTAAGCAGGGGGTTGGACTAGAAGACCTCTAAGGTCCCTTCCAACTAACAGTCTGTTATTCAGTTCAAGCCATGATAGCATCGGATGTCTCAGATGTCATTATGTATATGAGGCATATATATTATTTTTTTTTATAAATTTTTATTGACAAAACAATTAAAACAAAAAGGGACATGACATGACGTTCCAGTATACATAATCCTAGTAATTCGTTCCTTATCATATTTAAAGTTCTAAATATACATCTCTCTACATATTAACACATAATTTTATATACCACAAATTTAAACTTTAACTCAAAACCCGACCAGTTCTTCTTGACTCATACCAACA